TTTAAGATAAGGGCAAAAAGTTGTTGTCCCTGCTTATATCACCACACTTTGACCCCGTAGCCAGTTGCATGTGTCTAACAGCTATTAATACAACCAGGGTCACTTTCTCACCTTGCTGCTGTGGGTAAAAATGTGCAGTTGTCCTCAACTGAGGCAGTGCTACTTTTATAGTAACAGTCTATGATGTATAAAATGCACAGAATTTCCATGTTAGTATTGTTATCTCATGACATAAGAGGATTGTTTAAACAACGAAGAATTTTCACCAGCAGGGAGCAACAGGCTGTTCAGTCACAGAGCAGGAGAGGGACAAAGCATTTCCATCCAGAGGTCTATTAATTTGGAGGCTGCCACAAACCAAACCCTTTCACACCGTCGTCCTTGGAGAAATAAACCCTCACATGCATTTATCTGGCCTTAACTCAAGCTAATATGGAAACTACTCCACCGCTATACGTGCTGCCACCACAAATCCTTACACATGGCTACAGACGCACGGTGACGTGAAACAAGCGACCCCCCCGCGCGCACACACAGATTTGAACTTTTAGATTATCATCATTATAACATTTCGGTAACAACAGTATCAGTGTATCACGCTCAGTAGGAGCAGGTGATGCGGTCGTCTGATTCTGCGGATGCCAGAGCGCAAAAACGAACTCTGTCATGAGGAGGTTGCGGGTGAAAAACCCAAGAAAAGCTTTCACGGGATTACACGAATATGGTGATTAAAACAATAAGAATGTAGTGACGTGGAAATGTTTATACCATTTGTTTTTGGGTTTTTTTTTAACCGAAACCTGTGCGTCTGTCGAAGAATTTGAGATTTCCGCACTCAGAGCTGTATATGAAATTATTTTTGCTTTTATAAATAGTAAAATACTCTACGAATGCGTACTTTAGGGTGTCAGTGTGTGGATAAGTTACAAAAACTGTTTTCCTGAGCCTTCACAGCTGATCCCACATCAGGTAATTAAGGAGAGATCCTTGGGGAAAACGGGAGCGCGCGCAGCTTCAAGCTTCTGATAGGCACGTTTGTGTCACCGTCTACTTGGTTACAGGCTGGTAATAACGACCGTAAAAATAAAACGAGTGGCTGAGACTTACAGCTGGGTGGCTCTTAACCTGCTTGGCGACGACCCCAAAGAATGAAGACATGGTGGACAGTCCTCCCGCTGACCGGCTCCGTTAACGTGAATATCTGCGGGCTGAAGGCGCGCCTCTGCTGAGGATCTCCTGCAGTTTCCTGCAGGCCTGAACATACAATTGAACTGCACCCCACCTCCACGCGCTACTATCAGCCAATCCCACAATGCAACGACAGCAGCTGTGCGAACCCCCTACCTGGGCTCATATCTCTGAGCGCTACGGGGGGTTTGCTCAAGTGGATTTTAAACCCTCCACCTCCATTTTTATCTATTTTGACCAGCTAAAGTTGGACCGTTCAGATCGATCTAAAGGCTCAAAACAGCAATATATATATATATATATATATAAAGGAAATGACTAAGATAAGTATCAGCACGTGATGCTGTTTTATCTAGCTGTGATGGGATTTGGAGGTGTTTACAGTTTGTCTGAGGTTATCTGGTTCAGGTTAGATTTACAGTTACATTAAACATCCTTAAAACATCCAAATAAAAAGGTCACAAACTGCTCAGAATGGTTTCACTTTCAGTTCTGTGACAGATGCAGAGCAAAGCTCATGAAAAAATCGGTTTACAAAGTGTATATTATCAGTGACTTCTTCAGGCACACCTGTTCAATTGTTTACTAACCAAATATGTAATGAGGAAACACTCAAACACTATATCTGAATGTAGGCATTCAGATATAGTGCTCAGCATAAATGAGTACACTCCCTTCAAAAAGTACAAATTAAATCAGTAGCTCAATGAACAAAAGAACAATTTCCAAAATTTTCACAAGGCTGAGTTTTATTGAACACTTGTTTAACTCCATAACATGAAATTAAGGTTAATAATATAACTTAGATCACAAAATCTTCAGTTTTACTAAAATTGGTTGAAGCAAAAATGAATACACCCCGCAACAAAAACTACTACATCTAGTATTTTGTATGACCACCGTGATTTTCAAGGACAGCATCAAGTGTTCTAGGCATGGAATGAACAAGTTGCAACATATTGCAACATTATCTTTTTCCATTCTTCAAGAATAACCTCTTTTAGAGCTTGGATGCTGGATGGAGAGTGATGCTCAACTTGTCGCTTCAGAATTCCCCACAGGTGTTCAATTGGGTTCAGATCATGACATTCCTCTGCAGTGTATGCCGTATGGTGTCACGGGAAACAGTCACTCCAGTTTGGCTTTCTACTGCTTTAGCTAACTGCAGTGAACTTGCGTGGTGATTTCTTCAACCCTTCCTTCTCATCAGGCGACGCTCCCATTGAGATGTTAACTTCCGTGGACGGCCTGGATGTCTCTCTAAGATGGTTGCGCTTCCATCTTTGTTACATTTTTGCTACAGTATTTTGACTGATATGTAGGGCTTTGCTGATCTTGTAGCCCTCACCTTTTTTGTGTAAAGAAATTATTTCCTTTCTCAGATTTTGTGACATTTCTCTTCCATATGGAGCCATTGCTGGCAGCATGAAATGGGAAGAGCTTTTTTTTGTTAAGTAATGCCCTTTTATCATCACCTGTCTGCTGGACACCTCGTAAATGAATCATTCGACTCACCTGTGGTTGAATGCCTGTTAATTCGAATTTTGTAGTCTTAAGCAGTGTTGGTCAAGTTACTTAAAAAAAGTAATCAGTAATTAATTACTGATTACTTCCCCAAAAAAGTAATCCCGTTACTTTACTGATTACTTATTTTCAAAAGTAATTAATTACTTAGTTACTTTTTAAAAACATGATTTAC